TATGAAAGCGTGAAGATCTACTCGCCTTTGGCTACTCTGACTCGCTTCAAAAACATCTTGAGATCTTTCCCTCCCTCAGACCTGCACTCTCCCTTGTTATTTGACTTTATTTGCTGGCTTCACACTGATTTGAGCAGTGGAGTTTTTTCCACTAAATAATCAATCACATAGAAGCGGCATAAAGGCGAAGAAACCCTACGAGAAGGCTCTTCTACTGCATGCAGCATAAACACGAGACCGAGAGCGAAGGGGCACAAATGCCGTGGTCCCTTCATGTCTGCTTGACACCTCCGATTTCATCAAAGTCTGCAAGTCTACGTGTCCTCAAACGCATCCCCAGACTGCGGCCTGGTTATCCTAATTATAATACACAGAAATATGAACGCTGAGGGTGTCGCCCTTATGAAAGTGGAGGTATGAGGTAATTACCTGTTTTTTTTTTTTTTTGCTGCCCCCTGTGCGCCTTTTGTCTCTCATCATCTGTGACATGGACGAGCACGCCGCTGTCAGCTCGGACCCAACGATGAGCCATGAGTAGGGGACATTAACACATTACTCCCGCTCCCTCATGGATAATGGAACAAGGTTTGCATTTGAATGATAAACAAAATGACTTGGAGACACTAGGAAGATCACTCGCACCTGCCCCTCCCTGCTTCCCCTCGCTGCTTCCATTCAAAGCTTGAGTATTATGCAAAACAAGAGGGCGAGGATTTTGGAGTCCCACGAACTCATCTGTGTATCTTCCAGGCATGTTGGACAATTATGAGTCAGTAGAAGTAACTGCACCTTGTTAATGTTATGCAGTGTTGTGTTCACTGTCCTTTTATCAGAGCACAGCTACTTTCATCTGCAAAGTTCTTCACCAAATCCTGTGTTCTTCAGATTAGCATAGACTCGTAACAGAAGCCCCCTTAATCAGAAACAACAAAGCGCGATGGCTTCAGTGTGTCCAGGCTGATAAATAATTCTGGACCTTGTCAAAACTATAAAATCAAATAGGAGAAAAATGAAATACTGATGTGCCAAAGTATACAAAGTAAATATATATTCATTTGTATGGGGAGGAATATTCAGCAGCACATAGCTGCAGCGCTGTTTATTTTCATTTATGAAGACTTTCAATTCAAAACAAACTAAAGTTATTTTAAGTTTATTTTCTTGCCAATAAACACCTGGAGGGAATGTTGTTCTGCAGTGACGCTCTGACTCAAAAAGGTATTTCAAGTCTCCTGAAATCTGCCGCGGTGCTGCTCACATAAGCACCGCCATGCTTGAAGAGTGACTCCTCAGAACTGAGTCTAAAAAGGGAGCATTGAATATATATTGGTTAACATCCTTTAACAGCAGCTACAATTAATGTGTGAAGCTGCGCTTGAATCCCACTTTGTGCCATACACCTGCCAATCACCATGTTTGTAGAGCTAGATCACAGCCTTGTTTTCCTACTGTATGCAGCTGTGTATTTATTTCTACTGGTGCAAAAAGATTGCATTTGCTGGTCTTTTGAAGATGAGGCGGTTCTGTGCAAAGACTTGCAAATTGCAAAAAAGGAAGAGGAAAAGCAAACTGTGTCTGCTGCATGTACGGAAAGTCAGACCTGGCAAAGCATTCCTATTTTTCAGTAGGTTTGGTAATCATGTTCCCACTGCAGCTCCATCGTTTTCTCATAATCGGACCAGATTGCTAGCTGCAGCTCCTTTTAGATTAGAGAGGATTCAGACTGTGTGACACATGAAACAAAAAAGGTGAAGCTTGTTTTATAGAGGGAAAAAAGAAATGAGTCTCTTCCTCTGATTCTACCAGCTGGGAGTCGCTCACATCATACCTAAAGTCTAATTGACTTTCAGCATCTGTTTACTCTGCATGTCTAAAGAAGCCTTTGGTGTTTGCCTTGTTCTACAGGGAGTCTCTGCAGTTCAGGCTTCACGGCTCTCCAGTGGTTCGTGTATCCAGAGAGGTGCCAATCCAGACGTCTCACCACCTTTTCGGAGACGGAGCCCAGAAGGCAGAAGGCAGGCACAAGTCCCTGGTTAGGACACGCTGCCGTCTTTTATCAATGTTGACCAGCCAGACTCCTCGTGGCTCCTGCACGGCTGCATCAGGGAGCTCCTCGATTCCCTCTTCTTTGTCAACTCGGGTCAGTAGATGCACCACATCTCCACCATGAGAATTATGACAAGGAAAATGCTCTGAAGGTATGTAAAGACACCGAATTTGTGGATTTTTTCCCCCCCAAATTTTCTTTCTCACGAGATGCAAATCTCTCTGAGTTGAAAAAAAACAAAACAGCTTCCATCTGCAGGGATGTGACCGAAGTCCAAGTCTGGTTTGTCAAAATCACCCTGACTGGATATAATCTGCTCTGACATGATTTCACTTACTTCTCGGCAGCATTAGGGAGGTGAGGATTAAAAAGATAAAACATAGGCTTTTATGTATAGGCCACTTTGCTAATTAGATGGATTAAATGCGCTCTGAGAAGGGAATTAATTTGCAACTGAATGGCAGTTAGCAGGCAAATGTGTATAGCAGATGACACAAAGCCCTGAGGGTATTCCATGGTTAGTTTGGTACAATTTAGAAATTACACAACTCGTTTACTAAATAACAGGCTCATTTTTCCCTGAACTGCATTCTTTGGCGCCTCACTGTCACTTGACTTTCAGATGTGTTGAAAATAGGTTAGTCTATTCCAGTGAATGAAGCCTCCTGGTAGTAGCACTCACTGCAGTAATAGATAGCCATTTATAATTCATGAGATGGCTAGTCCCCCAAGTTAATTTTGCCCAAGGCACTGTTTACTTCTGCTTTGTACTTTGTTTAAAGTCAGTTGTTGACAACTCTTGTACATGTCAAACTATCACCGCTAATAATTGCTTAAGGAGATAGAACTTTTGCAAATGTTGGTTCCACCAGAGGTATATTCGCCTCGCCCTATGCAGAACTTCTTCAGATGAATTTTTGATTCATCTCCTTCTCGCTCTTGACAAAAAGTCCTCTGTAATTCAAAGCAATAGCTGTAAGAGAAATTATAAAAAAGAATAATGTAGTATGCACTTCATAACATCCTAGTTTTCATGTGAAATAGGAAACGTCTCTCTTACTCCCTCTCCTCTCCCACCACCCCCGCCTCTTCTTTTCTCTCTCTGACTTTCTTCTTTCCTTTTGCTTTTTTGTGCATATTGACCAAAGAGGGACTGTGCTGGCAGATGACGACGACTGTCACACGCCAAGGATTGACAGACGCCGTTGTAGGAGAGTAAAGGCCTTGGGCACTACCTCCGTGGGTCAACCTCGCTCTTCTCGCCGAGCAGATAGCGACGTTCTCTCAATCCAAGCAGTCACTTGATTAGTGCCAATTATCCGGGCTGTCACTTTCCCTGGTGAGGGTGGCCCAGGATGCGCCCCGTCCCCCACACTTCCCGTCTAGAGCGGACGTGCACTAAAAGTCTGCGCTCATAGCTGTAGGCTGTGGGAATGATTTCGAATGCAGAGACGAGGAGGGGTGGCGGCGGCGGCGGCGGGGAAATAAAAAGAAATGAGGGAAGCAAGTTCTGAGTTTGACAGTGTGATAGCATTGACTTCCGAGACAGTTACAAGGGGAGTGTCATTTCTCCCACAAAAGACGTCTCCCCAGGGCTGCACCGTCTTCCATCAGTCAAGTCAGTCACCAGCTTAATATTCAGCTGTACACTGTCTACAGGACCCAACTGGGTTACATTCGCTAAGGTATACAAAATTCACTTGTAAGTCTGTTGGTTTTCAGTCTAAACCAGAGGTACTAACTTTAATATGAATGCGACAAAAATGTAGCACAAGTATTAACAGGAGCCATAATTTGTCTAGAGCATAATTCATGTGACTGAAAATAAATTTGTGGCAACATTTGGAATCTGAAGGAGGACGACCGTAAATCAGCCCAACGCCGGAAAAAAATCAAATCCAATCCAAATATGTGTTAACAGCTGGTGCCAAGTCTGAACAAACACACTAAACAAAGACAGGGCAGAGGTAATAAATGTAGCCTGGAGAAATTCAAACGACGGCAATTATTTTAATCAAAAAACAAATTTAACAGAGCTTTTTTTTTTCCTTTTTTACAGACTACTAAACAAACTAATGCGTCATAAACCTCTGTTCCTGAAACCCTCTGTTTAAATTCTAAAAAAGTCACATTTTCCTTTCACCTGTTTTAGCCTCAGTCTCTCTGCAAGTCACCAGTTCTTGGCTACACTGCTGCACTGCACTTATTCTTTTCCTGGTTTCCAAAAACACAATCACAGTGTTTTTCATGCCCACCTCCTCCTCCTCCTCTCCTCCTCTTTAAACAGTGCTGCTGTGTATTTACTGATCTATTTCTTGCTGCTTTCATGTTGTTACTGTGTCTCTTGTAACTTCTCAGTATTCAGCAGCAGAGAAGTGAGACGCAGAGCTCCTCTAAACAGCAGAGGTTATCCTCAGTATGGATGTCTGCAGGGGAGTAAACACCATTGGAGTGCGAGTGAATATTTTGTATGAGAGGATATTAATTATTCATGCCCGCTTCATTGTGTATGATGATGTGTCAGGATGTTTGCCAATAAACAACAATATTCCTTGTAGGATTGATCCAAAATGAAAAGTTGTTGAGCTAGTTCCTCTCAGTGTGGAAAAGAAAAGAAAAAAAAAAGTCTGACGATTGCAGTATGTGGGAGAGCTGGAGCTAGTACTTATTTATGGAAATATCAATATTGTATCATAATACCGTATCCCCTCCGCTTAGTATAAACAATACAATCAAAAGGGGTACTTTAAATCTGGACTGCGAGAATGGCATTAATGGGAGGATTAAGGGAAATGTGAAACCACTGTATACAAAGCTGTGTAATCAAATCAGTGTGAAGCAGGAAAGTAAACTGGGTCAGTGTGGTGGGTGCTGGGTTTTTTTTTTTTCTGGATTGGCAGAAAAGTACACAAAGAAAAAAACATAACAACAAAAAACAGAAATACCTCGCACCTTGTTTTAAAGTGTTTATTCTGCTCAAACGGAGGCTCTAACTAAGTGTGGCACGCCCCAGTGATCCGGCTCGTCATTGGCTCTTAGCGCAGAGTGATGAGCCTGCTGGTGTCTGAGGGTGGAGGAGGATGGAGGGGGGAGGAGGAGGATTTGTGCTCTCTTTCATGGTAGCGGTGCCCCCGCCGCCGTCTCCCTGTGACGCCCCGGGGAATACATCACCACACGGGCAGGACAGCAGGGCCGGCATGGGCGTTATAATTGCCATCTCCTCCTAGTGCACATTGTGCACTGTGGAGCACGGTGATTAAATCAAAAAACTCCTCTGCATCCCAAGCTCTTTACCTTCCAGGCAAAACAGCAGGCTCCTCTGGGATGGGGTCATCATGGCCCCCTCTGTGTTCTGTGATCTCTGAAAAAAAAAAAAAGAGGAGGGGAGGAGGTGCAGACTGTTCACTATTACTGGAGGAAAAAAAAAAACACAAACAAGAACTTAATGGGTGTTAAAATCAAGATTCAGCTACAGATTATGTTCACACGCAAAACTGAAATGTCTAAATATTTGAATTGGAGCTGAGGGTGCACCAGAAGTGGCGACTTCTTGCTGCGGAATAACAAAACTCTTAATTGTTTAATATTAACATTTCTATTGCCGGCTTCCCTTTTTCATTGCTGATTAAACACAGATAGTTTGAGAACACCTTCCATCATTAGCATCCTGATTTAAATGTGTCCGTGATCGTTAAAAACACAGATAATTCACCTGAAGCCATAAAGAAAATTAGACCCGGGGTTTTACGCAGAGTTATCGTCCTTGGACATCCTGCACATACACACCAAACAGACCGTTATCACTTGGGTTAATGGCTTTGTTAATTTGAAGACATTAACAATTGCTCGGCTGTCCCCAATGAATGTGTCATACAAGGCAGGCCTTGTATTGTTAAATGGGTTGCTAAGTAGATTGATTCCTAAGCTGCAAAGCGCAGCAGTGATGTAGGCAAACAGGTTAATTAAACATTTACACACAAACGCCCAACATTCTATTGTACTCCTCTAATTTATGGCATCAATATGCATTTTCATCAGGATTTTTTCCGAGAGAGGCATATGTTTGCTCGCTCCATCCTAATTGGCACCATGCCGCTTCTTGCTGCACTGCTGTTTTTTTGTTTTTTTGAGGGGTGATAGAGCTCTCCGCAGTCACCCATAATAGGGACATAGCAGTCCCTGCACTGTGCAGGGAGACACTCAGATAAAGATTCAAGCACCTGCACCCACACCTCCACCTCCGCTCCCTTTCATCTGCAGCACAGTCAGAGGAAGCATAACCGCTGATTCCTAATCAGCTCCGTCTGCACTGCCTCCACCTTCTCCTCGGCACACACACAAATACAAAGTGTACACATTTGCACGCAGAAATACACACACACACACACACACACGCAGTCCACCACAGAGATTTCTACACAAGGCTCTGATGAACAAATGTAGAAGTGAGCACCACACCTCTTCCCAAAGAAAATTTCTTTTTTTTTTCCCCTTCTTGTTCTGAAAACTCTTGGGGTCATGAGGACAGGAAAAGTTCTTGCTTTTTTGTTATTTTCGAAGAATTTCTACATTTGTGAGTGCAAAGTGGGATTTGGGCCAGAGGCGTAGATGGTTTCCATCTTTCATGTATCCTCTGCTGACAGAAACCGAGCTGACAGGAAGGCAACAAGGGAACAATCAATCACCTTTCTTTTCAACTTTCTTTTTGGCCCACATATGTGTCGGTTAATTTGTTAACACTGGGGTAAAAAAAAAAAAGGCAGCTTTTCTAGTTTTTCTTTAGTGGTTGTCTAAGTGACGGAGCATAACACTCCTGCACTGTAGCAACAGTGAGCGATGATGAATTCCAATGATCACTCCATATGCCAGGCCTCATTAGCTACGGATGTGTTTGCTTACAGCTTCGCCTAAATACCTCAAGTACTAGATGCATGTTGTTTTTCTTTCCCCTTTTAAGTTCTCTCCCTCACTTATTCACACATGCAAACACACACACACACACACACACACACACACAGCCTGGAAAAGCCTTTAATACACTTGCCAACCGTGGGCCCTGGGTAAGATTCCTTGAGGGCGATGTGTATCCACAACAGTGTCTCTCCCTCAGACATGTGGCATGGGTAAACAACACGGTTAAGCCTAAAACAATGTGTGTCCCTGATGACTGCAATTATTTATGAAATCAAACACAATTCAGCTCTTCGCCAAGTGGGACAGCTCTCTAGATCACTCAACAAATCTCCACTCTTTACTGCTCATGATAATCTTAGAATGAAATCCCCCACTCTTGTGATTACTGACCATCAAAATGACAGCAATCGATACGCCGATCTTTCACTCAACCGGTTATTCCGAGCACGCGAACCGAGTGGAACATGTGTAAAACCGTGCTACCCGGAGGCCGTCCCTCCTCCGGCTGTCTTCGTGGATGATCGCTGACGTACAAGCGAGGCGATGGCTAAATTATTCAACTTGTGGTGTTATTGCTCCTGACTGGATGAACAGAGCAGAGTGAGAAATGCCAGTGTCAGGACAGTATGCGAGCTCTCGGGGCATTAGCCTCCAGTCAGCAGCTGCTGCAGATGGTATGCTCACTTTGTCATCCACTTTCTCAACACAGCTCGAGAAGAGCAATTAACATAACGGCAGCAGACGCAGGCAGACGAGCTCATTTCGTTTCCAAAAAAAAAAAAAAAGTGAAAATTAGAGAGGTGGACTGAGGGACGAGGCCATTCATCACTCGGGCGCCTCTTTATCTCACGCTCTCTGGACTTTAAAGAGAGTCAGGACTTTAATCAAACAGTCAGCCCTCCACACCTTTAACACGGCCAGTCAGAGACGCACAGGTGCTGACAAGCAGCTCTCGCCCAGGAACTTTCTTCAGTGTTAAGGTCGCTGACCTCTGCCTTATCAGTGTTTCTCGAGCTGAAAGATTTGAGAGTGTTTGTTCCGCCTTTTAACTTGTAAGTACAACAGAGCCTACTTGTACTCGGTGTGTGAGCATTAGACCTTAAATTTAACAACAGTGAGGTCAGCGTTGGATTGTGTTAGTTTACATTAGCTTCCAGGAAACGAAGGAAGATATCTGGGAGGGTTTTCAAGGATTCAGAGGCATATGAAATGCAGTTAGTACATGCAAAATAAATGCAAGGTATAGGCGAAAAAATAAATATTGTGCATAAACATTCTAATAAAAAGTTAATATATGAAGAGTTCATTTGTGAAAACAGATAACTTCATTTTTGTAGATAACTTCAGTTTGACTGATATTGTCTCAGGTAGATGATGGAAAAGTGGGTTTTCTGAAGCTTTGTGAAGATGGAAGTATCTGTTTTTGCAAATGACCTCTTCATATATTAATAAAAATGCATTATGTGTTGTGCAGGGAAGGATTTTCCAAATATAATGTGCTGCACAAGGTCAGGAATACACAAGTCTGAGGACAAAGTGGCCTGAAAAAAGCAGCCTTTACATTTTTGCACTTGTGTGAATTGTTCCTCAATTTTCACACCTGCACCAAAAACAACATCTAAACACACACACACACACAAATGTAATAATGATGATATGCATTGCTAATATAACTAATGATTATTCAAAGTAGGGATGTGCCGTTCATGCAACATCGCATGAAATTCTGTGGACCGACACAGCAAAGCGATACCCTACATTTCCAGCGCAGAGATTCTAAACCCATAAATCACGAGGCAGAAGATAAATATGGGAGGGCAACTAAATTAAATGGTACTTAGCCTTGTGAAATGCACTGTAATAGATCTAAGGAGGAGGTTTAGAGGAAACAAGGAGGTGCGCGTTCCTCCCTTTCTCCAGCCAGCGGTTTGTAACCCTCGATGATCTCCCTTAACACAGAGGAAACCAAAGATCATAACAAGACCTGGTGGAAACGTATCTCATTAGCTGCCTGCATACCTCTCCCATCATTTCATAGTAGCCTCCTTGGGAATATAGAAAGAGGGCTTTGTCTGCTTTGTCCCCGAGCTCTTGTCAAAATCTTCTTAATTGTGATTAATTGCACACCCATAAAGACTTCCTCTATACCAAGTACAAATAATACAACAATAGTAATAATGCAAATAATAGGATCCTCTCACTAAACACTACATTATTCATTAATTACAGGTCTGTTTTCTGCAAAATAACACTGCTGTGAGTACACCGCTCGAGAGAAGAGCAATGTTTTTTCCCCTATTTTCACAGCGACTTGAAAAATATATCCATTTCTTTTGCAAAGAGTGCCCTAGCTCCAGGCTCCTCTGCATATCGGAGGTTTTCTCTCTGTGGACTCAATTGTTATGGATGCTGTTTATGGTGCTGCTATGACAAGTGTGAAGGGCAGGCGTGGTGAAAGATGTATCGCTCGCTTATCTGCTCAGTGTCTGAATACGTTATAGGATTGTAAATGACCCTATATCATGACACGAGTCTCACAACAAGCAAAAAAAAAAAACACCTTTTTGTTTTACCCCCTTCCTCATTTTTACTCTCTATGATAACTTTTTGACACAAAGTGACAAATACTGCTCGGGAGCCTTAAATATCTGTAAATTCACTCAATTTGTGTGTACGCCGAGCTGGCGGTGGCGAGGTTGTTATAAAACGCTTCGCATGAGATCAAATTATTTCTTCTTTTTTGTTGTTGTGCCAAAATTCTCCTCACTCGATAGAAGTTTCGCACAAGTTTGCAGAAAGTCGCGGGGAACGAAAAACAGCTCCCTGCCAGTAAAGTAGCACGAGAATGAGTGACAAGAGGCAGACTAATGATAAGGTTTATAAGTTTTGATAGTTTTTACGGCCTTCTGGTGGAGCTGAGACGCATCGCTGAGATGTGCTCTTGAGCTGCACAGAGAACAATGTGCCTTTGAGACACTCTCTCTCGCTGCACCGAAGCAGCCTCGTCCTTCCGCCTCTTGCTGCATATGCTTTATAGCCGACAATAAACCATTTTAGTGCAAAATAAATTGGGATCTTATTGAAATGCTGGCGCTATATATGTCATCGAAGACATACAGTTATTTTTTAGCTAAGCTGGAGCATAGTTTATCATCATGTGAGTGCTGCGATGGGTCTGTTCCACATCATTGGCTCCTCTTGCTTAGTTAGATTGTGAAGGTCAGAGTTCTCAAGCCTTTTATGGCTGTTTAACTTCGGAGAATTATCACATGGGCAGGACTTGGCTGATATATGCTGCGCAGTCCTACCTCAGCATAGCGTTATATACATCTTGCGTTTTAGGGTAGAAGATCTAATGCCATTATTTGGCCCACGCGATCAGGGGAAGTGGATATAGTGGTGTGACCTCACCAGAGATGTCTTTATTGGACAGTGGATGTAAAGGAA